GCCCAGAATCCCACCCCTGTCACCCCATCCCTGATATCCTGTCCCTGCAGCTGCCCAGCACCCTGTCCCTGTCACCCCATCCCTGCAGGTGCCCAGGATCCCATCCCTGTCCACCCCCATCCCTGGTATCCTGTCCCTGCAGGTGCCCAGGATCCCATCCCTGTCACCCCAACCCTGGTATCCTGTCCCTGCAGGTGCCCAGGATCCTATCCCTGTCACCCCATCCCTGCAGCTGCCCAGCACCCTGTCCCTGTCACATCATCCTTGCAGGTGCCCAGGATCCCATCCCTGTCACCCCATCCCTGATGTCCTCTCCCTGCAGCTGCCCAGCACCCTGTCCCTGTCCCCCTGTCCCCCCATCCCTGTGCACCCACAGCCCCTTTCCCAGCGATGCTCCTGTGATCCAGCCCCTTTCCCAGCCACCCCAGGGCAGAGCAGGGGGATGTTTCTGGTGGAGGGAATGTAGGATCAGCCCCCTGGGGGTTGTCCATGAGGAGCCCAACTCTCCAGCCCCACAGGAGCCTGGCTCCAGAGGAATGGGAAAAGCTGCTGGGGAGCATCCCTCTCACTGCCCTCCCCCAGCTGGAAATCCCTGGCAGAGGACACAGACCCAGCAAACCCCCTTTTCCCACCGCAGGGAAGCCCAGCCAGGGATTCTCCAGAGGGACACAGGACCAACAGCTCAGCCACGGCTGGGTTTGGCTGACAGACACAAGCCTGAAGGCAAGATGTGACAGTTCACACAGCCCTGATCTTACTCCACAGGGAATTTTACCCCTGGGTGCACGTGCAGACCCTGCCTGTCCCGGGCAGAGCTGGGATGTGCTTTTTGGATGGCACTGGAACTGGCAAACTGGCACAGGAGGCTCCTGCCAGGCTGCCAGCAGAGCCAGCCAGCCTTTTCCACGAGCCTTTCCCTGTCTCAGCCAACAGCCCCAGTTCATCCAGTTCATCTGCAGGACTCTTAAGCCTCCTGCCTGCCCTGGCAGGGCTGGAGTGACCCACTCCATGCCCAGGGCTCTGCTCAGCTCCTGCAATTAGTGAAGGACTGTCAATAACCCAGAGCAGCTGCAGGGGTTCCAGCTGGAACGCTCCAAGAAACACAAATGTTTGGAGCTTGGAAAATGGGAGACTCCCTTTGTAGGCAGAACAAAGGCAGAGAGGAATTAAGATCTTATCTGGAGTGTGTTTAGGATCCATCCTCCCCCGGGCTCCAGGTGATCCAGCCTGGCAGCTTCCACCTGGTTCAGCTTTGCCACCGACCTGCCTCCTGCATCCCACCTTTCCTGCATCCCTCCCCTCCTACATCCCTCCCCAGCCCTTCTGCAGGGGCTCTGCCAACACCCAAAGCTCCAGCACCCCCCTCCACTCGCAGAAATCCCACTCTGCAGCTCACCCTGGGGTGAATCCAGCTCTGAGGAGGTGGGTGCTGGTGCCTGGCAGACCCTGCCCGCACCCCAGCCCCTCTCCTGAGGTGCAGCCAAGGCTGCAGAGGGCTCTCACAGCCCTGTGCTACCCCAGCTCCATCCCCCAAAGCCCAGGAGACCCCCAGGGGCCGGGCATGGCTGCTCCTGTCCCGGGGACGGGGGTGCTGTGGGGGTTTGGGCTGTGCTGACCAACTGGAGGTGAGGGGTGGAAAAAAGACACCCCCTCCTCCTGCCAGGCTGGTCCCAGCCACCTCCCCGGGGAGCTGCAAGTCCCACCCAGGCTCAGGAGAGCCCAGACACAGCACAGTCCCAACCCTGGGTGCCCTTTAACAACCAACAGCCAAGGAAGAGCCCGGAGCCCCCGGTGCTGGAGCCTCCTCGGCGCAGCAGCATCTCGCTGGTTACCATGGAAATTGTGTCCCCTTGTCCCTGTCACCGCTCCACGGACACAAATCCAGCCCCAGGCTGGGCTCCAGCTCTCAGCCTGAGCCAGGCTGCACTCGGGCAAGGCAGGGAGAGCTGTTGGGCAGCTCCCTGAGAGGAAGAGCCCTTACAGAAGCCGAGGTTTCACAACCCCAGGGGCACCACCAGCCCTGGCTGCTGCAGGTGAGGTCTGAGCTCCCCCCTCCTCCTGGATGCATTCCCAGGGAATCTGCTTCTCAGCTTGTGACACTCTCAGGTTGATGGGAAGAGAACAAGGAAGGTCATGGCATCCTTCAGTGTGCTGATCCCAAAAAAATGACCATTCACCCCAAAACCACTGTGGAAAACGCCACGCTGGGCTGTCTCCACCCAGGACAGCACCGAGCCACCAGGCCTTGCTGACAGCACCCCAGGCTGCCTTACTGCCCCTTCTCAAAGGGAAAAAAAGGAGTTAAAGAGACTCCCAGAGCAGTTGCCACATCCTGTGTTCTCCTGAGTCGATGACTCAAGCCCAAATTGCCTCTGGATGCGTTTTCTCCAGGCACAGCTTCACCAGGAGCTCAGGGCTGCACTCCTGTCACAGCCCAGCTCCTGACAAGGGCTCAGGGCATCACTTCAGATGCTCCAACATGGTCCCTCAGCAGAGCAAAGTCCCACCAGAGTGTCCTGGGATCACTAAGGTGGGAAAATCCCTCTGAGATCAAGTCCAACCCAGCGCTGCTGTGTCACCACCGAGCCCTGTCCCAAAGTGCCACAGCCACAGGCTTTTTTGGACACTTGCAGGGATGGTGATTCCATCCTGGGCAGCCTCTTCCAGTGCTTGACCATTCCTTCAGTGAAGGAATTTCCCCAATATCCAACCTGACCCTCCCCTGGCACAGCCTGAGGCCATTCCCTCTCCTCCTGTCCCTTGTTCCCTGGGAGCAGAGCCCGCCCCCCCCCCGGCTCCCCCCTCCTGTCAGGGAGTTGCAGAGCCAGAAGGTCCCCCCTGAGCCTCCTTTTCTCCAGGCTGAGCCCCCCCAGCTCCCTCAGCTGCTCCTGCTGCTCCAACCCCTTCCCCAGCTCTGCTGCCCTGACTCCAGGCAGGGTCACCCACCCAAAGGCCCATTCCAGCCCTAACCCTGCCCTTCCAGCAGCTTTCCTGCAAAATTGATGCCCACATTCCTGCTGTCAGTGTTCTGGAGCAAAAGGAAAGCCGGGATCACTCTGTGGCCCACCCAAGGACAGTCCCCAGCACATCACTGGGAGTTCCCAGCCCACACCCTGCTCAGGGCTGGGGACTCTGCTGATCCAGGGACACCTCCAGGGGATAAAACAGGACACGTCTGGACAACACCCTCTCCAGCAGGCTCTGCTCTTCCCACTAGAGAGAGAAATCCTTATCTGTGCCAGTCCTTATCCCTCCATCTGTTTATTCCTGCCTGCCAGAGCTTTCAAGCCCTACGAGATTTTGGGTTTACCTGAAATACCCCCCCGGGAGAGTCAACGCCTGTCCAGGTGGAGGATCTGCCACCTCACCTGGATGGCACCTGGGGAAAGGCAAGGGCTGGGAGAGGGGCATTCCCACCTCTGGGAGGTCCCAGCAGCCGGGAATGAAGGGAGCAGCAAACACGGGTGGGGTGGGTGAGACCTGAGAGGAGGGACCTGCACCCCAAAATCAGAGTATCCCAAGGTTGTCAGGGTTGCAAGGGACCTCTGGAGACCACCCAGTCCAACCCCCCTGCCCAGGCAGGGCAGGTGACACAGGAGTGTGTCCAGGTGTGTCCCCAGAGAGGGACATCCATGACATCCCTGGGTGGCTGTTCCAGTGCTCTGCCACCTCCGTGGGAAGAATTTCTTCCCCAGGTTGAGGTGAACAGTTCTGCACATTAAATATTCAGTATTCTGCATGTTAAATATCCAATCCCTCTCTCAAGCTCAGGTCAAAATCCCAAGGTCTGGCTTAAGGCCTCTGGAGAACAGAGTCAACCTCGTTGTCCTCCTGTGCTGGTGAATTATCCTGGAAGGGAAAAGGATGCAGCTCCAGCAGGAGGGAGCAGGAGATCAGCACTCCAAAGGTACAAAGAGAAGTGACAAATACAACGTTGCCACTGGGTGAGTGACTGGGGACATTAATTCAGGAGCCTCCCGAAGCCAGACACAGACAGAACTTCCAAAATGTGGAACCACCAGACAAAAACATAATGGAAAAAGACTGTGGGGGTTTTTTTTGCCATACTGTATGAAAGCCTGGAGCTCTGCAGGGCCCACCTGGCTGTGAAATGCTCACCTGGCTCTGGAGCTCACTCTGCTGCTTTAGGCGCAGGTTCTCGGGGGTGTCTGCCACCATGGTGAAGGATTGCTTCGGGTAGTGTCTGGGGAGGGAAGGAGATCATTAATCCCACTGATCCCCTGCTCCCTGCCCTCTCCCTCCCACCCCAGGACCACCAGCCCCATCCCCTCGGGTGCTCTGACACGGCCCAAAGTCCCAGACCACGGGATTATGGAATCACTAAGGTTGGAAAAGCCCTCCAAGGCCATCGGGCCCAACCATTCCCCAGCACTGCTGTGTCACCACTAAAACGTGTCCCCAGGTGCCACATCCATGTGTTTTGTTTGAACACTTCCAGTGCTTTGGTCCCGCTGTGGAAGAGCCAGAGCTGGGGACACATCCCCTCGTGGCTTTGGCAGCTGCCATTTGGGATGGTGGGGAGTTCTCAGCTGGGATTTTGGATGGTGAGATCCCTCTCTGTGCCTGACACCTCCCCAGTCTTCCCACTCGGTTCTCTCCCAGTCTCGACACATTAACTTCAGGTTTATAAAAAAAAAAAAAGGGCAAGAGGAGCCCTTTTTTCCCCCCAGGGACAAATCCATTCCATGTCTGTTCCTGCCTGGTTTCTGGAGAGGCCTTAACACACCATCAGCATCCCTCAACCAGCCCTCAGGGTGTCTTTAGCCCTGGAAAGCTGCTGACTCTGGTCCACAGTGACTTGGCCCATCACAGTTTCAGCTGGGAAGGGTCACAGGGGGAGGTGGGAGGTTTTAGTTGCTGCCCTGACTGAAGTTTCAGCCACACCACCCTCACACTGTGGTTTCCTGGTGCTGCAGAGGATCCTGATCCTGAACCACGTCAGCAAAACCCTGCCTGGGAAAACAGGCAGGAACAGGGAGAGGAGCCCAGGGAGAAACCCAGGGAGAGCCCTGGGAGAGAGCAAATATCCAGTGCTCGAGCTTGGAGGCTGCTCCCAGCCCTGTCCAAGCAGATGGATGAACCTCTCGTGGCCATTCCCACCCCCAGGAGACATGGAAAAGAGCACAAGGCAAATCCCTGGATAACAGTGGGACAACACTCAGCTGGGCCCAACCAGACCCCCCAGGGGCTGTTATTTTTGGGGTCTCTCAGCTGCCAAGAGGTGGTTGAGTCAGTCCCAACACTGTGGAGCTTCACCACCTGGGTCCTGGTCCTTCCCTGGGATCAGCCCTGTCCTGCATCCCGGGGGATGCTCCTGCCCACGGCCGGATCCGTTCCTGCAGCCGTGTCTGGAGCTCTGCCCGTGGGACAGAGGGAACAGCCTGCAAGAGCAACATTCCCAGCCTGGCTGCAGAGGCAGAACCCTCCCTTTGAGCACAACACTTCCCAGGAAAAGCCCAGGGAGGGAACCTGACCCGGAGCAGACGGTGTCTGTGCCCCTGGGCTGGCAGAGAAACCCAACACACCCCACAGAGAGCACAGAACTGCTTTGGGAAGGGGCAGAGATTTCTCTTCCACATGTGTTAAAGCAGGATTCACCAACGGGGCTCCCTCCAAACCCCTCCACAGAGACTTTCAGGAAGTTCCTGCTGAGAGCAGGAGGCTCAGGGAGGGCACCAGCCCAGCCCCGGGTCACACTGAGCACACGTGGCATTGGGGCAGCACAGGGAGCTGTTTCACTTTCAAATCCATGCAGGGACTTGGATGAATTCCCTTGCCAAGCCAGGCCAACCCCCTGTCCCCTCCCTGCAGCAGCTCTCAGAGGTGACCAGGGCAGAACTGCAGCTCTTTGCAGAGGACAGCGAGCCCTCACTTGCTTTTGGGGATCTGAAGGCTCTGACACAACCCTGATCCCTGTCCCAGGGCTGTAACTCCGACTGTGCAGCTCCCACATCTCCATCAGGGAACCCCAGAATGGTTTGGGCTGGAAGGGACCTTAAGGATCAGGAAGGTTCCACCCCCTGCCATGGGGACACCTTCCATAGCCCAGGTTGCTCCAAGCCCCATCCAACCAGGCCTTGGACACTTCCAGGGATGGGGCAGCCACAGCTTCTCTGGGAATTGCATTCCAGTCTCTCCCCACCCTCACAGGGAAGAATTCCTTCCCCACCTCCCAATCTAACCCTGCCCTCTGTCCCTTTACATCCATCCCCCCTGGTTCCTGCCCACGCAGCCCAAAACACGTTGTCCCCTGAGGGCTGTGCAGCAAAGCCCGGGACACCTGCAGCTCCCAGCCCTCCCCAGCCCACATGAAATGGGGCTCTGTGGCTCTTGGAAGCCCTGGGGCTCTGCTCTGGGAGCTGTGTGATCTGGCAGGATGAGGGAGCTGGGGGATGAGGGAGCTGAGGCAGTGCTGGCGGGGCAGGACAGCAGCAGATCCCCGACCACAGCCCTGCCAGAGCAGCACATACCTCAACCAGGCAGCAGTGCAGGAAACTCGAGATCAAAAATAGCTGCCTCAGCCTTGCTGGAGACAGAAGGAGAACCCACCTCACACACAGAAACCACCCAGTGCAGCTGTGGTTTGCACAAAGGGGAAAAGACAGCTCAGCTCCTCACTGCAGGTTCCTCCTGCTCCCAGCCTTGCAGGGGAGCCCAAAAATACACCCCCACCTCCTCATCCCACACCTTGTCCCACTGGGCACCCCCAGTGTCCCACTGTCACCATCCCAGGGTGCCAAAGGGACGGGAAATGTTCTGCCCATGTGGGGACAGCCCACGAGCAGCTGATGAGGCTGGGCTGTGAGACCCCAACCAGCTCCCCAAAAACCACACCTCCCTGCTCCACAGCTTGTCCTGCTGGACTCTCCCACTGCTTTGGGGATCTGGGAGTCAAAAGCAGGGTGCCAGAAGGGTGGGAAACGTTCTGCTGATGGATCTTGGCCATGACCCCCCAGCCCTCCTCTGTCCCCAGCACGTGGGGACGCACAGGACGTGGCCACAACCACAGCAAAGAAGCCCAAATGAACCCTTCCCACCCCTCAAATGCCCAGCAGCAAGGCTGAGAAGGACAAGAATAAGTTTTACCCAAACAACAGATCACCAACTGCTTGAAGGGTTCAGCCTAATCTCCGTTTGGATTAATCTGATTAGAGGGGGTATAATACTGTGTGCTTGGGCTCCTTCCCAGTGCCTCCAGTGCTGGCGTGTCAAGGATTCACACTGGGATCCAGTGTCAAGGCAGGTACTTCCCTGAGCCACTGCCTGTGGCTGCTGCAGAGAAATTCCCGCATTAAACCCCCAACAATGTGATTTTCTGGGAGGGTCCTGAGCTCACCAGGAGCCACAGGACAGCGGGAGGACACCACAGTGCAGGGGACGAGGGGAAACGGTCGGGAATTGCACCAGGGGAGGTTTAGGTTGGATATCAGGGAAAAGTTCCTCTTGGAAAGGGTGGTCAGGCACTGGAACGGGGAAGTGGTGGAGTCACCACCCCTGGAGGTGTTCGAAAACCTGCGGATGTGGCACTTGGGGACAGGGTTTAGTGGTGACAGGGCAGTGCTGGTTAATGGTTGGACTGGGTGAGCTCAGAGGGCTTTTCCAGCCTTAATGATTCCGTAGGATCAGGCTATGGGATGGTGGTACCTGCTGGGCAGAGTCAGGAGCAAACCCCACCAGGATTCCGTGTCCAGGTGCCCTGAGGGAGCTGCTGGCAGAGCCAGGGCTTAATTAACAGCAGCACTAATCCACTGAGAGCAGCACCTTGGCTGGAGGGGCACGAGGGGACAGACCAGGCTCCTCTCCCGCCCCCGGCACTGCTCCCAGCCTGGAGCCCTTCCCTGAGTGTCTGGGAAGTCCCAGCCTGACTCAGACCAAGGTGAGAGCAAACAAAGCCACATTCTGAGCACCAGCAGCTCAAACCCTGAGTGTCCCAGAACATGGAAGGTGTCCCTGGACCATGAAAGGTGTCCCTGGATTGTGGCAGGGGGTGGAACTGGGTCCCTTTGAAGTCCCTTCCAACCCCAACCATTCTGGGCCTCTTTGAGACACCAAACACCCTCCCAGATCACTAATTAATTCTCCAAACACCCTCCCAGATCCCTAATTCTCCATGTGCAGAGCAGGTTGGGAAGGCACGGGATAACGGACCATTCCCAGCCCAGCCATGGGAAGTGGGACAGAGCTCTCTCCCAGCACTGTGAGGACACCCCATCACCTCTCCCCGGGGTCTTTACAAACCCAGAGGATTCTTTTCCTGCTGCTCGGCAGCAGCCTTTCCAGACATTCCCAATTTTAACAGCTCCCAGGAAATCCAAGGAGCGAGACACGGCCCCCAGTCCCGGCCCGGAGCTCCCGTCGGATCACTGCTGCTGCCAGCAGAAATCATCCCATTGCCATGGCAACCGCATCCCATGCCCCGGGCATGCTAATAACGCTTGGGAGGAGGGAAACCCCAGTCCCTGCGAGGGCTGGGGAACGCAGGAATCCAGCCCCGTGGAGCTCAGGGAAACCGGGAAGCCACTGGAGGAGGGGGAAAAATAAAAATAACCCGGCAAACAAGAGCCTGATTCGGGCTGACAGCAAGGCTGGGCTGCGTCCTGCTCCGGCCCAGCCCGGAGAGGGAGGGCAGATGGACACCGGGGATGAAGCTGGAATTAGGCTCCCGTTGGATTCTGAGGAAATCTCCCAAGGATTGGAGGCAGCTTTGACTCCAATCCTTGAGCCCCCCGTGGGGAAGAGGCAGGAGGAATCTGTCTGTCTGCGCCAGGCGGGGGAGGAACCGCACAAATTCAGCGTCTTCCCCCAGGATCGGGCACCGCTTTTCCCCCGCAGCTTTTCTCCCCGGCTCCCGGGAGGAGAAGGCATTTGAGTCCTCAGGGAATTTAAGGCCAAGGGAAGGATGGGGGGGAGGGTCCCCCCTGCCCAGCCAGTCCAAACAGACACCCCCCGATCCCTGCCACGCACCAGGGAGGGGCAAACCAGCTCCTCTGCATGAGAACCAGCCACGGCGAGAGTCAGCAATAAATTAAACCCTAATGAGGAGGCAGGGAGGGAACTGCCTTGGGAGGGGAGGGGGAGGCTGCGTGGGAACGGGGGCTGTCCTTTGGGGGGAGCACGACCCGGTTCCCCCCCTTCTCCCAACCCAAACCCAGGCAGGAGCAGAGCCGGGGGGGTCCTCAGAGC